CCTGACAAACAAACATGGTGAAACCTCATCTCTACTAAAAATGCAAAAATTAGCAGGGCATGGCACACCTGTAGTTCCAGCAGTACTCACAAGTCTGAGGCAGGAGAATCGCTTGAATCCAGGAGGTGGAGGTTGCAGTGAGCCAAAATCATGCCATAGAACTCCAGCCTGGGTGACAGTACGAGAATCCATCTCAAAAAAAAAAAAAAGGATGGGGACGGAGGCTCGAGCCTGTAATCGTAGCACTTTGGGAGGCTGAGGCGGGTAGATCACCTGAGGCCAAGAGTTTGAGATCAGCATGGCCAACATGGTGAAGCCCCATCTCGACTAAAAATACAAAAATTAGTCGGGTATGGTGGCATACGCCTGTAGTCCCAGCTACTCGGGAGGCTGTGGCAGAAGAATCGCTTGAACCTGGGAGGTGGAGGTTGCAGTGAGCTGAGATCACGCCATTGCACTCCAGCCTGGTTGACAGTGAGACTCTGTCTTTAAAAAAAACAAAACCAAAAAAACCTACTCTGAAAAAACACAGTAACATGGAACTTCAAAACAATAATAAGAGAAATGTTCACTCATAAAATCTGGTATGCAACATTGATGTATCATTTAAAAAAAACATTGTTAGGCCAGGTGCAGTGGCTCACATCTGTAATCTCAGCACTATGGGAGGCCGAGGCGGGCAGATCACCTGAGGTCAGGAGTTTAAAACCAGCCTGACCAACATGGTGAAACCCCATCTCTACAAAAAATACAAAAATTAGCCGGGCATGGTGGCACATGCCTGTAATTGCAGCTACTTGGGAGGCTGAGGCATGAGAAATGCTTGAAGCCAGGAGGTGGAGGTTGAGGTGAGCCAAAATCACACGCACCACTGCACTCCAGCCTGGGTGACAGAGCATGACTCTATCTCAAAAAAAAAAAAAAAAGTCTACAGGTATACTCATTAAATGCAGGTATTTTGTGTCAGTCGCATGCACTGTGTGGCAGTACAATTTCAGATAATCTGCAGTATCATTATACACAGAAGATTCTAATTAGAAACTTTTAATAAATAATGATTTAAAAGAAACTAGTGTTACTTTTTATGTTTTAAATATTCTTACACAAAATGAAACTGCTGTAATCAACTTTAGAAGAAAAGAATAGACTTACATTGTTAAATAAAGAAAAATATATATATTTTGCAGAGTGGGGTTAGACCCTCTGATATGTAAAACAAATATTAGGAAATAAACTATGTTATTATTTAGATATAAGCTGAAGAAAGTAGATGAAAATTCTGTAATTCCTTTTTGCCTGCAGCAAACTTAAATTTATAAGTAACTATTTTAGTAAATATGGAGTGTCTACTAATTATCTAATTTACTTCCGAACATGCAAATTCTAGCGTATAGTCCTAAACATCTGAATCTAAAATTACAGACAAATTTGAAACAGAAAACAGAAAGTAAAAATGTATAGGGACAGTGACCTCACCAAGATGAAAAGATTAAAAGTCCCCTATTTTCATATCCCTTTACAGCAAAAAAAACGGTCAGCCATCCCTGACCAGAATGCCTTTATCAGAGAACCAGGCTAATGCATGGTTACAGGCATTACCAGCTTACACCTGTAATGACAGCTCCATGATACATTAAGGTTGGAGAAATGCTTCAGGCCAGGATGTTGAGACCAGTCTGCATTATGTAGCAAGACTCCATCTCCAAAATAAGTGCCTGTAAGATTTGAGATCCAGAGAGGGAGTTCTGAAACGCTGTTAAAGCTTAAGATTGAGAAGTGTTCTATTCAGAAGGCAGCCCCTCATTCAGGTGGGAAACTACAGGACCCCTGTTCTTGGCTACAGACCAAGATAGGGTTCACTCAACTTGGTCTGACTGAGAATTCTGAAGTTAGTCTGAAACTATGCGAAACTCCTCCCAGCCACAGTCTGGCAGAGGTCCTGCCATTCCAGAGACCTGGAGGAAGGTACCCATTTACAGCCATGTAGGCAGGCCTGCAGACCTTGGCCTTTACTGTGGTCCCTGAAACAGTTCAGTGACTCAGTTTCAGTTACCTGAGCCACAGTTTATGGCCAGTTCTGCCTATATAGAAACCCACACAGTTACCTGAGGAAATATTCTCTGGTACTCACTGAAAGCCATACTCATCCACATCCTGATACAAGGCCCACCATATGCAGACCCGACTGCAAAAACATGCCCTAGTGTCTGCCCTACAGAGCAAAGTCCTGAAGGGTATTCAGTCTGTCCAAAAATAAAATGGGAATTACAACTACCCAAGCCCCCATAACAAGCCAACTAAAGGTGGACCACAGTGCAGACCCAGCAGCCTTGTGACCAAGCTACAATCCCTCTTCACTACAAATTCAGAGGGCATCTCATCACGTTAAGGGCCCAATAAAATAAGATTTTTTACCTTCTAAAAAATCAGTTTAGGAAAACTTGAAGAGGTGTTTTTCTCCATCAAATTCAGACACCAATACAAAACTATATTGTGCCCATTGTCAATGCTTCTATTTTAATCTAGCACTGGATGTGGCAGAACAATTAGTCAAATAAATTTAAAAATCCACTGAAACAGAAAAATACGTAAAATGCTGTTGGTAGATCATACAATCTTATGTTTAAAAAACCATACAGAGTACTTTTACATTGGCTGAGGAATGGTTTACCAACTATACGGTCAATTTTGTCAATTTTATCTATTCAGGACATAGGCATGGGCAAGGACTTCATGACTACAACACCAAAAGCAATGGCAACAAAAGCCAAAATAGACAAATGAGATCTAATTAAACTAAAGAGCTTCTGCACAGCAAAAGAAACCACCATCAGAGTGAACAGGCAACCTACAGAATGGGAGAAAATTTTTGCCATCTACCCATCTGACAAAGGGCTAATATCCAGAATCTACAAATAACTTAAACAAATTTACAAGAAAAAAAAAAACCATCAAAAAGTGGGCAAAGAATATGAACAGACACTTCTCAAAAGAAGACATTTATGCAGCCAACAGACACATGAAAAAATGTTCATCATCACTGGTCATCAGAGAAATGCAAATCAAAATCACAATGAGATACCATCTCACACCAGTTAGAATGGCAATCATTAAAAAGTCAGGAAACGACAGATGCTGGAGAGGATGTGGAGAAATAGGAACGCTTTTACACTGTTGGTGGCAGTGTAAACTAGTTCAACCATTGTGGAAGACAGGTGGCGATTCCTCAAGGATCTAGAACTAGAAATACCATTTGACCCAGCCATCCCATTACTGGGTATATACCCAAAGGATTATAAGTCATGCTACTATAAAGACACATGCACACATATGTTTATGGTGGCACTATTCACAATAGCAAAGACTTGGAACCAACCCAAATGTCCATCAATGACAGACTGGATTAAGAAAATGTGGCAAATATACACCATGGAATACTATACAGCCATAAAAAAGGATGAGTTCATGTCCTTTGCAGTGACATGGATGAAGCTGGAAACCATCATTCGGAGCAAACTATCACAAGGACAGAAAAACCAAACACCGCATGTTCTCACTCACAGGTGGAAACTGAACAATGAGAACACTTGGACACAGGCGGGGAACACCACACGCTGGGCCCGGCCTGTCGTAGGGTGGCGGGTTGTGGGAAGGATAGCATTAGGGGAAATACCTAACATAAATGATGAGTTAATGGGTGCAGCAAACCAATATGGCACATGTATACCTATGTAACAAACCTGCATGTTGTGCACATGCACCCTAGAACTTAAAGTATAATATAAAAACAAAAACACACATAGTACATTAAAACCTATCTAAACTAATAAATACACTAATTAAATTAACAAAATATTAACATAAAAGTATATCTATGGTTTCATAGAGTTTAACTATCTGATAAAGAAAAAATCTTATTTACTATAGCATTAAATAATAAATTTCTGAAGAAAAAATTAATCAAGGAGTTAATACAAAAAAAAAATCAGAGAAGATCCAAGTAAATTTTAAAATAGTTTATGTCTATGGATTGAAAGATTAAATATTATTGAAGTGCCATATTATCCAAAGTAATCTATAGATTCAATAAACTTCCTATTAAAATTGCAGGGGTATTTTTTTCACAGTAATGGAAAATACAATTCTAAAATTTACATGAAACTATAATAAACTTTGAATAGCCAAAGCAATCATGAGGAAAAAGAACAAAGCAGGATATCATGCTTAAAATTTCAAGCTATGTATTTCAAGACTATATAGTAGTAAAAACAAAAATGGACAAAAAAGTGGAACAGAAGCTAATACTTCCACACACATTTAAGACCTGATGCAAAAAGAGAACTTAAAAAGGTCTTAGTTTCGTGGGCCGGGCACGGTAGCTCAAGCCTGTAATCCCAGCACTTTGGGAGGCCGAGATGGGCGGATCACGAGGTCAGGAGATCAAGACCATCCTGGCTAACACAGTGAAACCCCGTCTCTACTAAAAAATACAAAAACCTAGCCGGGCGAAGTGGTGGGCGCCTGTAGTCCCAGCTACTGGGGAGGCTGAGGCAGGAGAATGGCGTAAACCCGGGAGGCGGAGCTTGCAGTGAGCTGAGATCCGGCCACTGCACTCCAGCCTGGACGGCCGAGTGAGACTCCGTCTCAAAAAAAAAAAAAAAAAAAGGTCTTAGTTTCTCAGAATCATGCAGATACTTGTGTGTCCCCAAAACAATGGAAAAGCAGCCAGATTGTGCAGTTTCTTATCTGTCATGAAGAGGACTTTGGCTCTCACTGTGAACTTGAAGGAAGCTCACTGAAAGAAAAGTAGAATCCCTAGAGAATTTAAAAACATAAGACAGATGCCTCTTTGTAAGAGCAAAATTTAAAAAAAAAGCTGCCCAGGAACTATTTCCTTGGGAACACAGCTTCCCATATAACATTTTAAGGACTGGCTTTCTCTTTGACCTTGGGACCTCTTATCTGTGTCGTCTGTTGTATTCATTTTCACTCACACCTACCTGGGGGTTTGGCAATCATCTCATGTCTCTTCATAGTTAAAGGTTTTTTTCCTTGCTCCAGACAGGTGATCAGGTCTGGTTTAGAGACAACAATACCTGTTTTATTAAGAATAAATAACATGAATCTTGCTCATAGTCTCCAATTACAAGCTAGTAATGTGCTCAGCAGAGAGGATGTGATAAAATATTCTAGTAAATTAATACTAAAATACTAAGTTATAACAGAAATTTCTTTTTTTTTTTTTTTTTTTTTTTAAGATGGAGTTTCACTCTTGTTGCCTAGGCTGGAGTGCAATGGCTCGATCTTGGCTCACCACAACCTCCACCTCCTGGGTTCAAGTGGTTCTCCTGCCTCAGCCTCCCGAGTAGCTGGGATTACAGGCATGTGCCACCATGCCCAGCTAATTTTGCATTTTTAGTACAGGCAGGGTTTCACCATGTTGGTCAGGCTGGTCTCGAACTCCTGACCTCAGGTGATCCACCTGCCCAGCCTCCCAAAGTGCTGGGATTATAGGCGTGAGCCACCACGCCTGGCCTATAACAGAAATTTCTAAATATTTAGAAAATACTTTCAATTTGTAGGTTTCTTAATTTTACTACCTGGTACTACTAAAATCAAAAATTGGTGGTGACAATTAGATTTTCAGGTGGGGGCAACAATATTTTATGCCACTAAATTTTTGGAATTACCACTAATTTGGAGTGAAGAATAAAGCTCAACTCAGGAATGTGGAAAGTTTGGATTAAGATTAAACATCTTGAAAAAATTCTTTTCTAAATGAACAAACTCTGAAGATTTTTCTGGAAAAAGGGTATCTGAAACTCTTGTATGCAAAGAATAAATTACTAAAACACATTCTACAAAAAAGAGAAATAAAACCTTTAGGGTATATTATTAATTAGGTACTCAAGTTATCCTCACCAAGGAAGACCAGGTTTCTGTAGTTCTCTAACATCACATCCCTATATAAATTCCGCTGTGCAGTGTCCAGGCAATGCCACTCCTCCAGAGAGAATTCTATGGCCACATCTCTAAATTGTAACGGTCCCTGAAAAACACACACACACACATATTTTTACCAAGTGGCCATGGGCGGAATTTTTAATTTGACTTAAGGTGAAATGAGAGAGTAAAGAGAAGTAGTTCTGACTTACAGGACTAGAATTATCCAATAAAATGTTTTCAACACAGAAATATTCTCTAAGGTATTCTCTAACTCTGAGAAAAAAGAGCAGCACAAGATCCACATCAGTTCATATATTTTTCTAAAGTATAAAATTAAGGCCATGAACACGAACATGACATTTTTGAGTGCTATATTTACATCATACAGAATGAGTTGTGAATATTTTTCAGACAGAAATGCTGAGTTAGAGGGCACCTCTCAAATTTTAATATGTACAATAAGCTGAAGACCTTGTTATGCAGGGTTTTTTTTTTTTCCCCCAGATCTTATTTACGTATTTATTTATAGATTTATTTATAGATGGAGTTTCACTCTTGTTGCCCAGGCTGGAGTGCAATGGCGCCATCTTAGCTCACCAGACTCCATCTCCCGGGTTCCAGCAATTCTCCTGCCTGAACCTCCCGAGTAGCTGGGATTACAGTCATGCCCCACCATGCCTGGCTAATTTTTTGTTTTGTATTTTTAGTAGAGATGGGGTTTCTCCATGTTGGTTAGGCTGCTCTTGAACCCCCGACCTCAGGTGATCCGCTGCTTCAGCCTCCCAAAGTGCTGGGATTACAGGCATGAGCCACCGCGGCCGGCCAATTTTTTGAATTTCTAACACACCAGTAATGTGAATGTTTTTGGCCCAAGAGGGATATTTTTTCAAACATTTACTAAGTGGAAGAGCCTGTGTTTTCCCCATATTTTCTAGCCTATAAACAAAGAGCCCTCAATTTATCAAAGAAAAATATGTAGGGAAAAAATAAGGACAGCTGCCAGATTAAATATGATGGTTTATGCACATCAGCTGCCTAAAGATACTTAATAATAAAGAGAAAAATAACTCTATAGTGAAAAAAATCTGTCAAACAGCTGCTTAACCAAGTGAATCATTAACCATTAACTGCACTAGGACAGATTTTTATGTTGTGCTAATGCTCACAGAAGAACACAGCATCACTGTTGAAATATTCCCCCCAAAAAAGAAAATTATAGTCTGAATTTAACCATAAAGAAACATTAGTTTTAGGCCAGGTGCGATGGCTCACACTTGTAATCCCAACACTTTGGGAGGCACAAGGTGGGCAGATCACGAGTTCATCAGTTCGAGACCAGCCTGACAGGGTGAAACCCTGTCTCTACTAAAAATACAAAAATTAGCTGGGTGTGGTGGCAGGCACCTGTAATCCCAGCTACTCAGAAGGCTAAGGCAGGAGAATTGCTTGACCCTGGGAGGCGAAGTTTGCAGTGAGCCGAGATCACGCCACTATACCCCTGCCTGGGTGACAGAGTGAGACTCCGTCTCAAAAGCAAAAAAAAAAAGGAAAAAGAAAGAATGGGCGAGGTGGTGGGCGCCTGTAGTCCCAGCTACTCGGGAGGCTGAGGCCGGAGAATGGCGTGAACCCGGGAGGCGGAGCTTGCAGTGAGCTGAGATCTGGCCATTGCACTCCAGCCTGGGCTACAGAGCGAGACTCCGTCTCAAAAAAAAAAAAAAAAAAAAAGAAACATCAGTTTTATGGAGACTTTCACTTAGCACCCTAGAGAGCAGGTATCTCCTAATAATTGTTTTCAAAACTTTCTTGGTAATAAATGCCATCCAATTTTAATACGCATTTTCTTAATCCCGTTCTGCATAGAGCTAATGCAACACACAGATGGAGCCTCAACATTACATGTTCTACATCTTTACTAAGGACCAGAGTTTTTCCCCAATAGAAATCTTGAGTATCCACATCCTTCCATGTTCACCCGCCACAAAGGACACATTTTTAATATTGCAGATCATAAATTATTGCTGAGAATCCTGCATGGCATATAAGAAGCTATGATGCAGCAAATAAAGAGAAGGCTCTGAGATATAGGAAAGAAATATTTTTCAGAGACCCTTGACTATCAAAAGAATTTTAACAAGTAGTTAAACCAAACTCATTAGGGAGAAAAAACACAAGTAGAGAAGTAAAGGTGTGTGAGTACTAAATGCATGGCAGTCCAGGAGGCAGAGTGGACACAGCTCTTCATCTGACACACATTTACCTGAAGAAAAGCCTTTTTTTTCTTCCTCCTCTGGAATTCATTCTCAGATGAGACTCTCTGGATAAATTACACCTGCATCTTAACAATATGCCTTTAAAGGTGTCAGTATTACATGTTTACCTGCTAGGATGACATCAACTGGCAGAAAAAGAAAAAGTCAACCCATTTCTGTCCTTTAAAACAGAAGAGATTCAGGCACCATGAGCTGCTCCATGAAGATAAAAACATGTTTCTCCTTTCCTGTCCTCAGGTGCCCTCCCCTGCCACAGACACCAGTAATTTCTGTTACAGTAATGCAAATATGTGCCACACTGACCTGTCCCTATCAAACCCAAACAGAACAGGCCCTGTGACCACCCTATAGTACAAAGGTGGAACTTAACTCTCATGAATGTATTTTGAAACCCTCATACCTGATTCTGGCCCATATGAGGCCCTTCATTAAAACAACATGGATGCTTCCACCCACAACAATAAACAGAAGCTGTGGGGAGGGCACAAGAAGTTTCTGCAAATTGACCATGTGATCCTAAGGAGAAGCCTGGGTTGATAACCACTAAGCTAAGCATTGCTTCTCAGGTTTTAACGAGTTTATAAATCACTTGGTAATTTTGGCCTCACTTTAGCCCCCTTGTCACAACCAAATACTTCTGGTACAAATAAGGACAACCCCTCTCCATCCTAAAGTTTTATATTCTTTGCTGGCTATTTAAAGTTTACAGACAAAACAGAAGGCAGCAATGTCTGAACAAATCTGTATTTAAAAAGCAACATGTGTACACATGTACTAATGCAATATTTATTAAACAGGCACTATGTGCTCAAGGGTATGATACAGAGCACTGTGCTGGGCATAACACATTATGTGATTTAATTCTCATAACACCCTGGGAGCTAGTACTAAGGGTTTCATAATTTCCAGGATTTAGATAAAGGTTCCAGCGTTTTTATTTCTTCTTCTATTTCTCGGTCATCAAATTTTTTTTTTAAATTGTGTAGAATAAAAGCCAAATATAGACAGATGAAAGAGATATAGAAGGAAGAGTTTAATGTAGTATAGAGAAAATTTTATTCTATTCATATTTACTTTTTTGTGACTTATGGAACAACTACTGGATCTTCAGGAATAGAAAACAAGTTGCTAATTTGAGTGTCTCTGCAAGCACTGGTTTTAATACAACAGTTAAAAACTAAGACTTTAAAATACATACTTTATTTTTCCCATTTATTTGCTTTTGGGTTTCAGGAAATTGTGAGCACTAGCTCTAGAAACTTACTAGGATTCATTAGCCAAAACTTTGATCTCTTTTCATCAGTTCTGTGAGGCAAGACTCCAAGGTAGGGTCAGAACTCAATAAAGTCTCCAAAAAGGGTGTCTCTGCGGCTGGTCACGGTGGCTCACGCCTGTAATCCCAGCACTTTGGGAGGCCAAGGCAGGCAGATCACGAGGTCAGGAGATCGAGACCATCCTGGCTAACAGGGTGAAACCCCGTCTCTACTAAAAATACAAAAAAATTAGCTGGGCGTGGTGGTGGACGCCTGTAGTCCCAGCTACTCGGGAGGCTGAGGCAGGAGAATGGCGTGAATCCAGGAGGCAGAGATTGCAGTGAGCCGAGATCGCTCCACTGCACTCCAGCCTGGGCGACAGACTCCATCTCAAAAAAAAAAAAAGTGAATCTGAACAGGTCTGGGGCAAGGTGAGGACTCTATATAGAATTCTGTTCTCTATGCCACTGGGGTACTTCCAGTTTTGTTTTTTCTAAGCTTACCTAAAAGAAACTTAAATCCAGAGCTTCTGCAATTTTAATCTTTTCTAGCCACTGCCCTGTCAACTTTATACTATATACTAATATACAATTTAAACAAATCCTTTCAGGTCTTCTAGGGTAATTTTGTTTTTTGTTTTGTTTTGAGATGCAGTCTCACTCTGTCGTCTAGGCTGGAGTACACTGGTGCGATCTCGGCTCACTGCAACCTCTGCCTCCCAGGTTCCAGTGATTCTTCTGCCTCAGCCTCCCAATTAGCTAGAACTACAGGTGCGTGCCACCATGCCTAATTTTTGTATTATTAGTAGAGATGGCGTTTCACCATATTGGCCAGGCTGGTCTCAAACTCCTGACCTCATGATTCGCCTGCCTCGGCTTCTCATGTGCTGGGATTACAGGCATGAGCCACCATGCTCGGCCCTTCTAGAGCAATTTTATTAGAAAATAAATACGTATACTTAACAAGGAAAAATAAATAGAAATTCTACTGCTGGGTGTGGTGGCTAACGCACATAATCCCAGCACTTTGGGAGGCCAAGGCAGGTGGATCGCGAGATCAAGACCAGCCTGACCAAGACCAGCCTGGAGTTCAAGACCAGCCTGACCAAGATGGTGAAACCCCATCTCTACTAAAAATACAAAAATTAGCCAGATCTGATGGCAGGCACCTGTAATCCCAGCCACTCAGGAGGCAGAGGCAGTAGGATCACTTGAACCAGGGTGGCAGAGGTTGCAGTGAGCTGAGATCACACTACTGTACTCCCGCTCAAAAATAAAAAGAAAAGAAATTATAATAACAGTTCTTCTGTTCATAAATATGCCCTCAGATGTAGACCTCAGAAGTCACAATGATATAAAGAAAGTGGCCTAAATAAAGCCCAAGATTTTGGACACATGTATTTATTGTACCAACCATATGATGCACAATTCAATTATTTATCCAGTTGCTAGTCTAGACTAAAAGTTTCTGGATTGTAGGAACCATGACTGCTTTATGTTTTTGTTTAATGGCCATATGAAATGGAAGCTACTAGTTTATCTATTTGGGTCTCCAGATCTCGTCCTTGTTTATCATCCAAGTACCAGGAAATTGGAGAAACTCTCATCTAGGTATCAACCAAAGACACCTCTCGTATGAGGGGATGAACAAACACAGATGACTCATTTCTCTTACACTGAGACAGAAGCAGAATTAACCACTCTTGTCAGCCTGACATAATTCTGTACGGGACATTTCAAATGCCTCAAAAATGCCTCAAAGACACCTAGGTGATTTTGAGGGAATTCCCAGTGACCCTAGGCCAATGGCCCAATGATAAGCCAGGCTGGAGAGACTCAGACTGATTCTAAATAGAAAATGGAACAGCCCTGGTGGAACTCCAGAACCTGGATCACCCGTTCTGATTTACTAGCTCTTGGGTAAGAGAAATAACAAAAATACTCTACTCCAGTATCACATTTTACAGGTAAATTTAGTTGCGGTTGTGGTCATGGCTCTGGATACTTCTACAGATTCTGCCATCAGATTCTATTTCCTCCTGGAGCCTCTCACATAACTGTAGCAGGTCAATGAAGAAGATGTGAAAAATCTCAAATAGCCACACTCCCAAATGGGGGCTATAAGATGTCTATGTTGACATCTCACAATGCAGAAAATGCCTTTTGTTAGTTGTCTGTACATTCTCTATCCAACGTCTGACCCTTTTTTTGTAAATCCCAGGCAAAGGTCAGACCTTATCTGCAGATTCTAGGTAGGAGCAACTTGGTTCTGTATCCTTTGGTGTTACAGCAAGTGGAGTACAATTAAAGGAGAGATGTTAAGAAAAAGCTCAGATTAGATATGAGATTGATCAAGTCAGCCAGAAAATATTCCCCTAAAAGCAATTTCTCTCTAAACACCCAAAGTACACAGCTACTCTCAGCATGAAAAACATGAGCATTATGAAGAAAGGGGGAAGATTTTCAGAAGAATTTTTATAAAGTTTCTTTTCCATCTCTGCTGCTCTCTCATCTCCTAGCCATTGAATGGGGGTTCTATATTTAAATACATCTGACAACTTCCAACAACACTTTTTGATGAATAGAATCTGACTGTGTTCATATAATGGAATATATTAGAGCTTGCAACATAGCTAACTGAAGAGCTATGTTGGTGGTGTTTGGGTGGCCACATCACCTGTCTTTATTTGTCCTATAATAGCAGAATTCCAATTTAGTGAAATAAAAGATACTAACATTGTGTTTACTCATAATTATCCCTATTGAATAAAGTAATAAACATGTCAGACTAATATCTACTACAACAATTTGGTAAATTTTCTTTGGATATTAGATATAAATAATTATCAATAATTTTAATGAACTAGTCATAATGTACGTAGCATTTTTAAAAATTGCAACTATACTTCAGTTAAAACGCTTTAAATAACAATATTAAAATAACCATTTAAGTGATTCATTCAAAGTAATTATTGTGGCTTTATATTCATACTATTGTAGAAAATACCGTTTATGGCTCACCCCTATAATCCCAGCACTTTGGGAGGCTGAGGTGGGTAGATCACCTGAGGCCAGGAGTTCAAGATCAAGGTGGGCAACATGGTGAGACCCCATTGCTACTAAAAAATACAAAAACTTACCCAGGCATGATGGTGCACGCTTGTAATCCCAGTCACTCGGGATTCTGAGGCAGGAGAATTGCTTGAACTCGGGAGGCAGCGGTTGCAGTGAGCCGAGATCATATTGCTGCACTCCAGCCTGGGCAACAGAGAGAGACTCTGTCTCAAAAAAAGTGAAAATACTGTTTAATTTATATGAATGCAGGTTGTCTACAAACACTACACATAACTATGCTAATTGTTCTGAAGTAGTAAATAGAACGCAAGGTACAACTACAGACTCCACTGTTCAGTTTATACACTGAACTGTTCTTGCTTTTGCAGTATAAGTACTTTAGCCTGCAAATATTGGATAATTTCCTTGGATAATCAAGTTTCTGTCAAAGGAACTTAGTATCTTTTAGTTTTTATCATTATGTATTGCTAAATTTAATTTTATCTTTGTGCTAAGCTTCTGTGTGCTCTTAAAATAAGCTTTTATCTAAACAAATCTGTGTATACTTTTAAGGACTAAAAATGCAAAAAATAAACTTTTCAGAAGCAAAAAGAAAGCAAAAAATCTGAAGTACTAGCTAAAGATAATCTGGAGTCAGAAAAAATGACAAAAGGTTTATTTAGCTGTTAATATGATTTACATATATTTCCAAAAAAAGCAGAGAAAAATATTTACATATAATCTAAATCCCTTAAGAGAGAATAGCAAAAAATTTTTTGGAACTTTTTAAAGAGTTTTTGAACCCTTGGACATCTGAATTTTGCACACTGTATGCACTTGAAAGAATGTTTATGGGAGAAAAAGCAGAAGAAAGATGTTATAAAAAATGAATGAGTGCACAAGACCAATGCAACAGAATAGAGAGCCCAAAATAGACACTCTCTATAACCATCAGATTTTTGACAAATCTGACAATAAGAATGTGGGAAGAATTCTCTATTTAATAAATGGTGCTGGAATAACTATCTAGCACTATGCAGAAGACAGAAACTGGACCCCTTTATTACACCATATACAAAAATCAAGATAAAGACTTAAGTGTAAAACTTAAAATTACAAGAAGTCCTGCAAGATAACCTAAAAGATACCATTCTTGACACAGAAACTGGCAAAGACTTCATGAGGAAGCTACCAAAAGCAATTGCAACAAAAGCAAAAATTGACAAATGGACCTATTTAAACTAAAGAGCTTCTTCACAGCAAAGGAAACTATCAACAGAGTAAACAGACAACCTACAGAAGAAAAGAAAATATTTGCAAACTTTGCCTCTGACAGAGGTCTTTCAAATTTATTAGAAACTTTAAAAAGTTTACAAGAAAAAAACCTCATTAAAAAGTAGGCAAAAAACATGAAGAGATACTTTTCAAAAGAAGATATACATGTGGCTAACAAGCATATGAAAAAAAACTGCTCATCACTAATCATTAGAGAAATTAAGAGAGAAACCACAATGAGATCTCACATTACACCAGTCAGAATGGCTATTTTTAAAAAGTCAAAAAATAACAGATGCTGGCAAGGTTGCAGAGAAAAGGGAATGCTTATACTCTGCTGTTGGGAGTGTAAATTAGTTTAACAACTGTAAAAAGCAGTGTGGCAATTCTTCACAGAACTCGAAACAATTATCATTTGACCCAGGAACCTCATAATTGGGTATATACCCCCCAAAATATAAATTATATTATAAAGACACATCCACATGCATGTTCATTGCAGCACTATTCACATAACAAAGACATGCACAGGCCATAAATGCCTATCAGTGGTAGACTGGATAAAGAAAATATGGTATGGTCAGATGCGGTGGCTCATGCCTGTAATCCCAGCACTTTGGGAGGACGAGGCAAGTACACTGCCTGAGCTTAGAAGTTTGAGACCAGCCTGGACAACATGGCAAAATCTTGTCACCACAGAAAATACAAACAGAAAAATTGGCCAGGTGTGGTAATGCCTGCGTGTAGTCCCAGTTACTTGGGAGGATGAGGTAGGAGAGAATTGCTTGAGCCTGGGAAGTTGAGGCTAAAGTAAGCCAATATACACCACAGCACTCTAGCCTGGGCAATAAGTGAGACCCTGTCTCCAAAAATAAAATAAAATA